GGCAAAATTCCTGCCACAAATCCACCCAATGCCACAACAACAAGGGCAGCTATGAGTGCCGCTGCCGCCCTGGATGGAAGCCGATTCCTGGGTCCCCCAATGGCCCACACAACACCGTCTGTGAAGGTTCGGAGTTCAGATCCCATCAATGAACCACATCTTCTTTACTTGGCTGAGCCACCTTAAAGGCAGCTGACATAAGAAGCTTTGGCAGAGAAAGGGCAACACTTTCACCAATGACTTGTGCCCGGTGCAGGCAGTGAGGAGATGGTGGGCTGGGCTTGGCAGGGAAAAGCTTAGATTCTGTTCTAATAAGGGCAGGAGTGCAGCTCTAGGCACAGGGGTGCCACAGCCCACAGCCTCAGCACGTGGGAACTGTCAGTATGGCAACCTACCTGGTTACAAATTTATCACAGGTCCTCCCCCAGGCCCTCCTGCCCAACAGGTTAGGGCACATCTTAGGGATGACACTTGCACACACTCACACACAGTCCTGCCCTGTCCACCTTGCAGGGGCGCTCTGAGCTTATGGTGCTTTTACAGTGGAAAACGTCACCACAAGTTTGTATATGTTGGGCTAGGTGGGCTTTACGCAAGGCTTAGTTGGGTGTCCAGGGTGTAATTTCAGAAAATGGGCAGAAGTTTTGGAAGGGGCAGCACCATCAGCAATGGTGTGTGCCCAGTGCAGGCAGTGAGGAGAGGGGACCTTGGCTGAGCGGGCTCAGCTTCAGATTCTGTTCTAATAAGGGCAGGAGTGCAGCTCTAGGCACAGGGGTGCCACAGCCCACAGCCTCAGCACGTGGGAGCTAGCAATAGTGTGTGCCCAGTGCAGGCAGTGAGGAGAGGGGACCTTGGCTGAGCGGGCTCAGCTTCAGATTCTGTTCTAATAAGGGCAGGAGTGCAGCTCTAGGCACAGGGGTGCCACAGCCCACAGCCTCAGCACGTGGGAGCTAGCAATAGTGTGTGCCCAGTGCAGGCAGTGAGGAGAGGGGACCTTGGCTGAGCGGGCTCAGCTTCAGATTCTGTTCTAATAAGGGCAGGAGTGCAGCTCTAGGCACAGGGGTGCCACAGCCC